AGCTGGTCCCTGTGTTGATGTTCTGGGTGGTGTGGTGGCAGCCTGCATGGAGAGCCTGTGTCCTGCGGACAGGGTGGCCTTGTGCTGCGCCCAACCCTTCAGCACTTGCTTTGTCCCACCGCGCAGCACAGCCAGGTTTGCCGGCCAAGAGGTGGCTGCTGCTTTGCCAGGGTTTGCGTGAACTTCTCTGTGCCACTTTCAGTGCATTTTTTGCCCTCTTGCCTGCCCGCCCACCCTCTGCCTGACCGCCTGCCCACCTCCTTTCAGGCACAGTTGGCAGATCACAAAGGGTATGTGTTGAGGTCCATCTTCAAGAAGTCAGTGGGCAGGCATGCTGCTGCGTTCAGATGGGATGGCACTGTGCTCGGTGTGAGGGCTGCCTGGGCATGACACAGTGGGGACAGACTTGCCTGTGGACGCTTGGGCTGGACTTGGCTGCAGTTGGGACAGCAGAGGCTGCTTTGTCTGCATGGCTTTGGCCCTGGAGAGGGCTTCTGCGCTCTGCATGCACAGGGCTTCCTGGAGGCTGACAGTGTCCCTGGCCTCGGCGGGAAGTCAGTAGAGTACCATCTCCATTAAGACCACCAGGTGTCTACAGCTGTCCCCTCAGGGACAAAGCTGCTGCCAGGGGAAAACTCTGGCCTAGAGAATAATGGAAAATTAGACTTCTTGCTTGAAAGGACAAAAACATGATCCCAAGTTTAAGGCCCGTCTGGGCAATTGGACCTTGTCTCAGAATAAAACAGGGGCTGGGATGTAGCTCTGGGAGCACCCCTCGTTCCATTCCAAGAACTGCAAAACAAAACAGAACAAAGCCCAAACAACCACAAAGGGAACAGGAGGAGTTATGGGAATCATATCACATCGAGTTTTGAAGCGCTGCAGTTGGTGGTAGAGAGCTGTTCACAGGCATCAGAAGAACTGGAAGAATCCACACGCGTGTGTTCAGGTGAAAAGAAGCTGGACCCTAGAGATGGCAGGGATGTTCCTATCAGGACTCCCCTGTGACATGCTTGTGTCTGGCTCAGTGGCCAGTGCTCCTGGGGAGGGGAATGGCCAGGGCTTGGGCCAGGAAGGGCTCCCCTCCTGAGGGTGTCCCACAGCAGCCTGCCCTGGTGGAAGATGTGCCCGCAGCACTCGGACACTGAGTGAACATGTTTCCGAACTAGGCCAACCTGCTGTGACCCCCGGGGCTTGGAAGGACATGACCCAGCCAGCTTCCCTGTCCCTGAGCAGGCCCCTGGCTGTGGGGGTGGGGACTGGCCGCAGTTGTGTTTTCTCCAGCCTGGAACTGGAATCTAGCATTTCCTGCAATTATGAAAGCAGACAGAAACCCACAGCAGGCCCAGCAGTGCTGTGGCCTGGCACAGTGGGATCACAGGCATCTGGGGTCACTGTGGAGTGGGCCATCGCCCAGTGCTCCTTGGAGGTGACCATGGACTTGCTCTCAGTGGTAGAGGAGCTCAGGCGACTGTCCCCAGCCTCACTGCCTGGGCTTGCAATCCGCCTATCATGCATCTGAATGTATTTGTGGGGAAGGGTCAGTAGATGTCCCTGGATGGCCACAGGGTGGCCAGCACAGTAGGAGGCTGAGACCCTTGCTCTGGCAGCCTGTTGCTGTCTTCCAGGGGCCTCTGGATGCCTGCTGGTGGAGGACAGCTGGCTTTGGAGGCCCCAGCCCTGGTCATCCTGTCTCTCATGGCCAGTGTCTGTTAGCATGTTCTATTTATAAATGGAATGGACTGCTAAAAATTAAATTTCTAAAAATTGTGCTTTTGGCTCACAAATATTAAAGTGAATTTTAAACACAAAGCTTTGACGAAATTCACGTAGTTTCTCTTCCCATGGAGTGTTGCCAGCTTTCCAGAAGGTGTGAAGTCTGAGGGTGGTGCATGACCCAGGATCCTGCCCAGGGCACTGGGCACGGGCAGTGTGGTCCAGCTCTGAGAGTCTGTGTGGCCACCACGCTCTAGTTTACCTTGAGATGCTCTTGCAAGGTTCACATCACCTGGAAGAGTTGGAGATGCAGAACTGCAACCCTCCAGACCCAGCTTGGACCCGTGCCTCACCACCCCTCGGGGGCACTCTGCACCTACAGGTTTGGGGCAGCCGCTCATCTCCACAGCTGTGAGACAGGTGAGCTGCAGAGCCCAGGTGTCTAGACCGCATCCCACAGGGCACCCCAGGTGTGTGGCAGCCCTGGAACCACAGGTGGAATGTGCCCTGCGTACCTGGTAGTTGCTCTGCAGCGGACCCGCCTGTGTTGGGGGCCCAGGATGGAGATTATGAAAACTTGACTTTGAAGTGGCGGTGCTTCTTTATTTATCCTGATTAAATTGGATGGTACGTATTTTACAGAAAGATTGGCACCTGCTTCCTGGCAGGCCTGTTCTCAGTTCAGGGGATCCTGCGGTGAGCAAAATGAGACACAACAGACCCCTGCCCCGGCTGGACCCCAGGAAGTTCTATGCCACAGTGACCAGTGCGTTTGGACAGGAGGCCAGGGAACAGCTAGTGCAGAGGCCCCGGCAGGTGGATGCAGCGTCCTCTTTGGGAAGAAGGTGATCCATGGGCCAGGCTGCAGGAGCAGGCAGCAGGACCTCAGTGGGCCGCGGCAGGGCCAGCCCTGGAGAAGGAGGGTTGGCAGCCGTACAGGGCCACGTGTCGTCATTCCCTTGGAAACAAAGCAGGAGACTTATCCAGAGAATCTGGAGCTGGGGGACGTCTGGCCAGGGGGAGTTAGGCTCTGTTGGCCTCTGGGCAGGAGCGGAAGGCAGTGCTGGGACCCGTCAGGCCTGTCTCCTGCACCTCCAGCTGCCGACGGGCGTGTGGGCGAGCGTGAGTCAGAGAGCATCTGAGTTGAGCTGCGTGGGTCACGTGGGCAAATGAGCCTGACCAAAAATAACCCAAAACAGCATTTCTGGGAATCGCAAGTGAAGGCAGCTTTTAATGTAAACAAAGGAGCAGAGAAAGACGAAGGCTGTTGGAAAGAATGGACGTCTGCGAAGCTGAGAAGAACTGCTTTGGGGAAAATGCTGAGGAGAACACGCGTGGCGTCCAGTGGCTGTGGTTTCGCAGTGTTTCCTTTTCTTCCTCACATCCGGGGAAGCGTGTGGTCTGATTGGGCAGCTTGCAGCTTCCCCAGGCTCCGGGCGGTGGCGGGGACCAGCCTTGGGCCTTCCTGTTGATCCTCGGGGAGCACTTCCTGCCGTCCCCGTGGGCAAGCAGTGCTGTCCCCATGTGAAGCCTGTGCCTGGGTCAGCCTGACGATAGGTCGGCACTGCCCACAGAGCACAGAAGGGCCTCCCAGAGCTCCTGCCTGGTGGCGTCCCCATATCTCAGGGCTCAGTGCACAGTAGGGTTGAAGGCCACTGCTCAGGCCTGGGGTCAGGGTCAGTTTCACTCCGGTCTGGGCAGGTGCTGCTCTGCTGGCCAGCCACACTGGCCCCATGGTCTCCGTTCTTGGGACCAGGTGTTGGGGCCCACACCAAGTGGGTAGCAGAGCTGCGGGTGGAGAGCCAGCGGCCAGGGGACCGAGTTGGCTGCAGTGGAGTTCAGGTCTCCTCCGTGCTGCCCCAGGCCAAGTTCCTGTTGGCAAGGAGCTGGCTTCGCTTGGGTGGCTCGAGCCCCGCCTCTGCTTGCTGGGTGCTCTCGGTTCTCCTCTGGAGCGCTCAGGTGTTGGCCGAGGAGGGGGTCTTCTGAACTGGAGGAGCCCACCCTGGCAAGTTAGGAGAAGTCAGTAAGATGTAACTGACTTTTGTTTTCCCTCCACAGATGTTTATTCCACTTAAAGTATCTAAACTTATGAACTCCTGGGTTTTAGGGTACAGTGAGGTAACACTCCGCAGCACAAAAGAACTTAGAGAAATTTCTATCAAGTGAACCTAAAGAATTTACTTCTATCAAGTAAACCTAAACACTTGATTTTTACATTTGTGTATTTGAATCAGAAAAATATGCTTTATAGGTAAAAAACCCTTCACGTCCCATTAGATGTTGGAACTTGACACCTACTTCAATGTCATTTCACCTACTGACACTTGGTTCCTAGACATCTCAGACTGCTAGGTTCTTGATGTTTTCTCAGATTTGTGCTATGAAGTGAAAAATCTGTAGTGATGTTCAATGGAATAAAGATCAAGTGGAAGTCTCTCATTTTATATCTGCAAAAGTAAGCTTATGAAAGTATAAAAAGAATTATCAAAAGGAATTTTGATAATATACTTATGAAATTATAAGAATTTAAAAAATTATAAAAATGTTCATAATATACTTATGAAAGTATAAAAAGAATTATCAAAGTCAAAAAATTTGACTTTCTTGATAATGCCTTGCGATGTTATCCAGAGAGCCGGCTCTCTGGAGGAGGCTGTGTGCCTGGGATTTGTTTTACCGAGTTCCACGAACTTAAAACTCGCCTGGCCTGGGATGTGCGGCTTTCCCAGTCGGGCCCCTGCAGCCGTGTCTTTGGGTCTGTCTGTAGGGGCCGAGGCTATTTGCAGATGCTCAGTGTAGACACTGGGTGTCGACGGGTCTCCCCAGGGCTCTTGGTTCACCAGCCCTTGAGACTGGAGATAGCCGCTCGCGCTGCCCAGCCAGCTCCGTGGGTGCTGCTCTCTCCCTGCCTTTAGACATCTTCTGTCATTCAAGGTTTGTAGCGGATAGTGTCCTGTTGTCATTTGTGTTCTAGAGAAGGGTTTTGTTTGAAGAAATATAAAAATAAGGTTTTGCTTGGGCTGGAGGTTTACAACTCATGCCCCTGGGCTGTGGGATTCTGTCTTGTCTGGTGAACCGCGGCCCAGGACAAGCCCCTGTGGTTGGGCTGTTCAGTTCTGGTGGAGAGGAATGGAGAGGTGGAAGTTCTGTCTTTCTTGGGAAGTATTTATCCTTACAGTAGTGGTTCCTGTTTTATTAAAAAATTGAAACCAAGGCCGGAGGCATGAAGGTCATTCCAGGTTAGCTAAATGGAGAAAGTAAGATGGACGTGTCTCTTTCCCCAGATGGCTCCGCGACCGGAGGCCCCGCTGCACGGCGTCGGCAACAGCCTGGAGAAGGCGCTGCACACCTCAGCACATTCCACGGAGGAGGCGCTGCCCAAGAGGCCTGTGGGGAAGCACGGCAAAGGTGGGTCACCTGGGCTCCTGCGGGCAGGGGCGCGGGCGCTGGGTGGTGCTGCGTCTCTTGGGCCCAGTTAGGGAGCAGTCTCTGATTCTGCAGGTGACACTGAGCATGCTTTCGCACACTGCTGTGCTTATTAAGAGGAAACGAGGGGACCCAGCTCCTTCCAGCCCAGAGGAAGCCTTGGGTTCTGGAGCAGTGCTGTCCCCGAGTGGCCTAGAGTGTGGTGCCCTGCCACCTCCTGCCACCTCCTGCCATGCCAAGTGCTCCTCCTTCCTGTGCCCCATGGCCCCTGGTGGGGCTGTTGTGGGGTGTTTCACAGGAGGCTCTTGGTCCTTGTGGCTGAGTGTGTGACTTCTGCAGCCCTCAGAGAGCCACAGAGCCACGCTGTTGTAGATCGGACTGGCCGAGGGTGGCACAGGGGCCTGAGAGAGAGAAGGCGCTTCCTGGGACCAGGCAGGTCCATAGACGTCCCCGGGTCTGAGCAGAACTGCCAGGGGACATGAGGAGGCGTGTCCTGATTGGGTCCTGTGGCCCTGCTGTGACGGGCAGGGTCCCTCTTGCCGTTTGTAAACATGTTTGTCTCCTGTGCATGGCCAGCTGTGGGGGCCAGGCTGCGCACTTCCTTCTCTGCTTCCTTGGTCCCTGGGTCTCATCTCACAGCAGCGTGGTAAGCGTGCGCTTCCACAGAGCCCTGTGCCCACCTGGTCATGGAGCTGTTCTGCCTTGGTCTCGGCCTGGTCAGCTCAGGGGAGAAGCAGCTCCTGCCCATGTTCTGTAGTGTGAGTGCATCATGGGGCGTGGGCAGTGGCCTGTGGCAGCCTTGTGAGGCGGTGGACCTGTCCTGGGAGTCCTGTGCGGCTGTGTGGTCTGGTTTTGCCTTTCACTCACTTTCCTGTGGTGCTGGGGAAATGCAGCGTCTTACGTGTGCTAGGCAGCTGCTCTGCCCCTGAGCCACGTCCTAGCCCTTTGGTCACCATCGTCTGAGTTGCTGTCCTCCTGAGAGACTGTGACCCTTGGCCGAGTCTCCTGTGTCTCCTCATCCTGGTGATGGAGTGGCTCTCCAGAGCCGGCATGGAGAGTCACCGGCAGCACGGGAGCACTGCACTGGCTCTGCCTTCTCCTGCGCATCTTGC